TTGGCTGCTGCTTTATCTCATTCAAATAAGAAGAAGAAAGAAAAGTTTTTTAGATTTTTCTACCTGGATTATTGAGCATGCATCAGGATATGAAAGAAAGAAAAGTCTTTTCATGCTTCGTGATGCTTCTTCTTCTTTCTTGTTCTGGTTGGAGTTCCAAATGATGTTTTTGTCCTTTGCAGCTTCACATGCGTCATGAATGTTTGCTGGCACGAGTCTTAGTTTATCCAAGCCTGTTGTTCACATCAAACCAGGCAATGAAATATTCAAATAAAACATTGTTCTGTTAATGCTAGCAGCGCGGGAACAGTCTGGACATGTGTTGGTCTTTTATACGCATTGTCCCAGAGATTTATTGGATTTTAAAGCCTCTATTGTTTGTTTGTTTCTTTGTTTACATTTAGATCATTGAAAAAATGAGGAACTTGTGATTCACGGTTTTATACCTTTGTGAATATGGGACGACCGGCGGTTGTTGCATCAGTGTTTCTTTATTAAAACCTTTAAAATAATCAAATGGAATCGACAGAACCGTTTTTTACACCTTCTGTTTGAAACCTTTTTACTCCACGCACATTTTTTACAGCGATGATGAGATCTGCCACGTTTGGATCAGAAAGATGTGGAGCAGAACAAATGACGGATACAAAAAAGAACGCATTGAGCAGTTTATGCTAAATTAAATGATCTTACATGATTCCAGAAATCTAAGAGGCATGTTTGCAGTGACGATGAGCTGCATCTTAATTTTATTGTTTTAAAGAATACGACATTGTAAACAAGTGTCCTGACTAATCGTCCACCAATCAGAAGGATCTTTTAATACCTCGCTCTTTGATTGGTTGGGTACCTGTCACCAACAAACCTGCATTAAACACATGAATTATATTTAAAATGTAGATTAAAGACTTTAAAAATCATACAAACACATCAGAGACCAATACTTTGTGTAGGAAACCCTGTCATGCAGAAACACTTTGAGTCTTCGATGATCGGTTGAGTGACACAAACTGATGTTAGATGTTTTAAAACGATCACTTCTCCAGGATTTTTCAATATGTTACAAAAGAAGTGATTGATTTTAGGATGTTTGTCTTCTCTATGTCAATCTACTGTGTGAAGTAAGGACTGAAGTCGGTGTTTAACCACGTTTAGCTCGTGTGTTGGAAACTGACAATCCTCCACTTTGTTGAAAGTGGTATGTCACTGGGCTCCCACTGTCTCCAGCTGGTGAACAGAATTTATGATGGCGTCTCCAGAACGTCTCGTATGGTTTGGACTCACGGTTCTCTTGAAACATGAACATGTTCAAAAGGCATCGTGGGCGTCTTTAATCCTTCTCCAGAGTGCTCCAGGTGTATTTTTACACCTGCAGGAGAGCTCTGTTCTGGCAACAAAATCCCTGCCAGGTTTCAAACTTAAACCAAACGGTAAATTAGAATTATTTTATAAATCGTCCACAATTTGTCGTCTTCATTCTACAAGAGCACTCCAGCCAATTAAAGCATAGATGAGAAGTCAGCTGCCAGGGTGGGAACTAAAGCTGAAAATGTGCACGGCCAATAATGCAGTTGTGCACGCAGACCGAGTGTGTGATTAACAAACACAAGTCCACAGTTTGCCTGTTACAGCCAGCACCAAAGATTCAGTCCGTTCAGTGTGGACCACCTGAGCAACACGGGCTCATCTGGACCTGTGACTGCGGGACAAACGCTGGTCAAGGACTTTGAGATCAGTTCCAGATGTGTTTGTGCTGGATGTTGCATGTTAGTCGGCTTCTCATTAGTTTTTGTTCAAACGTTGAAAGTTTGTCATTCTGTCGCTGCACAGCAGCCAACGCTTGTACACGCGTGTAACGGCACCAGCAGACAACAGAAGGCGTGTTCAGCATGATCCATCAGACTGTCAACAGAAGCTCAAACAAAGAATGGGCCTGAAATAGTTTTTGTATTGTTGACGACCTGGAGCCGGGTTTGTCTGCCGGGTCCCTCTAACAGGTTTTAGCTAAGTTTAGAGCAGAATATAAAATAACATCATAAATATGCACATCAAATCTGTTGCTTCAGATTTGAGCTCTCTCCTATTTAGAAGACAGAAATCAGATCATTTATATATTTCACCAGTTTGCTTTTTGTGAGAAATATTCAAATGTTGTTTTGACACTTTCAGTCATCATTTTTTCAATAGTCGTTCTGAGGTGTTTGCACATCATTTCACCGCAGGCGGTTTTTACACGTCTGCAACCGAAGAGTTGTTCTGGAATAGTTGTTCATTCTGTCCGTGAGGCTGACACGTTGTCCAGTTTGAAGACTGGGATTAAGACTTTCCTTCTTGATGAATCCTATAGTTAGGGTCGGCTTGTTATGCTGCTATAGACTTAGACTACTAGAGAACAAATTGACCTCATCTCCTTAAATTAATTGTTAAAACTGAATAGTTTTCATTTGATACTATTTCTATCTTAACATGTGATTCTTGACCTGCCATTGTGTATCTATTCCTACCAAACCCAGCCGGTGGAAGCAGATGGTCCTCTAGTCCTGATCCTGGTTCTGCTAAAGGTTTCTTCCTCATGAGGGAGTTTTTCTTTCCACTGTCGCCTTCATGCTTGTTCAAGATGAGAGTTCAGTGATGGAGTTAAACTCAAAGCTGCTCCTCAGATCAATAATGTTCAATTATTATTTTATACATGAATGTTTCTGTTAATTATTATTTTATACATGAATGTTTCTGTTCAATTATTATTTTAT